TTTTTCCACCACCTAGCTTTAGGCTCTAGCTGCATGTTTAAGCACACACGGAACCCCAAGGACTCTGTCCTAGATCGCATGAGCAGGTCTTGCTGTTGAAGCCACAACCGGATCCTTAGTATAATGAACCCACAATGACCTCAAGAAGGCTGAATCTAAAAACGTGGAGTCGCGAGAGCCTCAACCTTCGCACGACCGGTCATAGACATGAGGGAGGTGCTAAAGTAGAGACGACGACGCCACATGTGCCTTCCCTGCGAACTATGGACCATCCTCGCCGGCATTGCCCGAGTTGCGAGAGTCTAAATTTAAGAACGATGCACAGAAGTCCGCGATGACTCTGGGCGAGGTTTCTTTATATGGGGGCAAGGGGGCCCTTGTCGGGGGATCTCCAGCCCCAGCGCCATGTTCTCTGGAAGTCATATCATCTGCTATTTTGAGACTCAGAAGAATCGTCTTCCCGAGACGTACCTGTAAGTCGTACTGCAGGTGAACTCTGCACATGACTCCATGAGTTCGGGGCGGAAAGCATTTGGGGAGTTCGAGGTTCCGCTTCTCGGAAGACTTCCAGCGCGCGGACATCGTCCCGCGAGGAAATCCTACAGTCTTCTGCTGCTGCTGTTCCCCGGACATCACAAGGCTTTTGGGTTTTCAGGGTGTTACAGTTCCGGGTCTCCGAGCTGCCGCGGTGGCCAAGATAAATGTAATTAAGCAGCGTAGAAGCTTCGTGAGAAGCTTTTCCCAGACAGCACACACAAAGGACAGCTCAATGGGATAGTTCAGGTCCACCCTGCTTCCATCAACCCTTGTCCTCCAGTCCTTCCGACCCGTTTCTGCAACATGCTCTCGCAGCTAGATTGTACCCTCTTCAGCTTCGAAGCCACCCCAAAACACCAAATCCCCGAACTTCGAAACTCAAGAGTTAAACCGTAAAGGCGCCAAAAGCACCAATTGTATCGTCCCCTCGACCCCTCGCCTCCCATGTAAATCCCGTTACAGGAGCCCTTTGATGAACCCTAAATCTCAGGTTGCCCCTGCATTCCAGCCTGGCTCGAGCTGCCGGGCTGTTTCTTGTCTGGCTGGGGTTTCGGTAGTGCAGGGGCCTCATTAATTTGAGCAGGGAGGGTTAGTATTACTTTTAAGTTTTAACGTAAAGCGGCCTTTGTTCGGAGAACAAGGCTTTGAGGAATATTATGGTTTGTAAATCAGGGTCAGGGACTACAGGAGGGGATGCTATTGCTATTTATTCCGACCCTTACAGTAGACGAACGCAAGTAAGAAAGAGCGGAAACCACCGTGATTTCCATCTGTCCCAGGTGTTGGTCTGTTGCTTCGTCATGTATGCTGCTTAAAGAGGTTATCAGGCGCTGATAGCCTATGCTTTCATTTGCAGACTATTTGCAGGCATGCATCGCGCGAAGATCGTTGTGGTTTGAGAGGGTAGAAGTTCGACACGCCTGGGTGAGCCACTGGACATTCTGAATGGGTGGGGCGACAGCACCAGACCACCGCAAGCTTCTTCCAGTCTTTGCGCGGGCTTCGGGTTCACGTGCCACTAAACATGCGGATGTTTTGATGCATTGATGTTTGCTGCAGGGCGGTGCGCGTCTTGAGCTTGCATGGGATGTGCTTTGGGGCTTTCGGATTTCTGGCTGGGAGAGGCAGGTGTCAGTTGACGAAGCAAACGATCTAAGGCTTGAGGACATTACCCTGTCAGGGGCCAGGTTTGGAGGTCCTATCTGGTGGGGAAAGATCGCGCACGGAGTTTGGGCTCGGGGATGCTCGGGGCCTGTTGTGCGAGGTGTTTCTGTTGACCCATGTAAGCAAAGCTGGCAATGGTGGATTCGGGTCCTTCGAAGTGACTTGAGTACTGGCGCACGACAAACTCTCGCAAAAATCTCACCGCAGCTACAAGATTGAAGCTGAAGATCCCAACCTTGAACCTTCACCCAGGCCCTCCCTGCCCTGACCTGTCAATGCAGGAGGCAATAAGCTCTGCAGTATTGCGCTCGCCCATACGCCCCAGGCCCGAAGACAAAACTCAGAAACCAAGAGGCTTGACACGAAACTACATGGTCCAAGCCGACTCCTCCATCAAGGGCGACCATTGGGAGCGTTTCCAAGGCGCTTCAGGGTTTAGATCTCCCTCTTTTCCCATTTCGGCTTCACATGCAAACGCAGGAAATTGCTGTCAGACGCCCACCTTCTACTACGACATCCATGCAGTCTACGATCCCGACGGTACCCTGGATCCACTTTTTTTGGGGGGCGGGGGGCAGGGCCCCGAAGTCCACTTGGCGAACCTCGATAAGGAGTAATTAATGCACTTCGTGGGGAAGGGGTACCCTTAGTTCCAGTGTCGAAGCTTGAAATTTATTAAAGTCGCATTGCCCTTGCAATATCCTCTAGTCAAACATCGAAGCCACCGCATCCTAAGCGGTGGGCTGTGGCGTGATGACTATACTTAGCCAGTACTTCTAGCACGTTTATGGAGCCCTGAACAGACACCTGTTTGTGCTTGTGTGTTACATGTATAACGTCTTATTATAGTGTCCATGTAGACCCGTATGGAACCCTTCTAGTACCGACATAGTATCCTCGTAGAACCGCTACTTATGCAACGAGCTTCTATTCCTCGGGTCGCCTGAGTGTCGTGCTTCGTGCGGTTACCCCTACATCGAATCATTTGGCCATGGCGCTTGGGCATGCACGGTCTAGTACGGACTTTTCGGATCGTGAACGCCCAGCTGCTCGAGCATTGTAAAGCCGGAAGTCACAAAAAGTGCGTCAGCCCTAACTTTGCCGCAAGCCAGTGCCTAAAACCCCAAGCCCTATATCAGAATCCCAAGAGTAGCAAGCCCTGAAGAATCAACCGATCATCCGTAAGCGCGGAAGGCAAGGAAACCCGATGGAGCCAACTCGCACGAGAAGCTCCGGCACAGGTGATGATGACAATTTGACGGCTTAGGGTTGAGGGTTTTTGCTGACATCAGTGCTTTAGGGTTTAGGCCTTTAGGGTTATAGGGTTCAGGTTTAGGGTTGAAGTTGTCGGACATACTGTCGTTCTTACGGTTTCGTCATAGCTGCAGTTCTAGGATTACCATTCGGCGTTCTGATTGCATCAGATTTACCGGAGCCATGCAGAGCTTCATCTCTCTTTGACTATCCCGTGAAGACTTGGGTTTCGGCTTCCAGGTCCAGGATGTGCAATCATCAAGTTTAGGTTTGCCTGAGCGCCTGAGCCTCCTCCAGATAAGAACGACAACACTGGAAACATGCGGCCACGACCATGCAGCCCCGTATGAGATATAGTGGAGAGAGGGGTCATACGGATCTCAGCAAAGCTGTGCATCTCCATATTTTCTGCAGCGCATGCATCCATGTAAACAATGTGGTTAAGATAGCCACGCCGACGGATGCACGTCCTGCACAGCCCAGTCCCCGATCCGTTGAGTTGTGGACGGCGGAGACGGTGCAAGTGTGCAGGGTGTGCAGTCTGTGCGGAGTGCTGTTCGTGGCGTGAAGCAGCGGAAGCGTTTAATTCGAAGCTGATCGAGACTCGAGGCCCGATTGGCATTCTCTCCGCACATGACACTCCCGCCCCGAGCAAAATCACAGCATGTAACGCTGATCGAAGAAGGCTTCTTTCACTAGGATGTGCGGTTTCGAGTTGAGAGCTCAGCGTAGCTTTCAGGACTTCCCAGGCCTCGGCCGACATGAGGCTTTTGCAGGCGTGCTAGCCGTTTGAGGCCTACAGGTTTGGTGGGCGCTGACGACGAAAATGATGATTTGACTTCTCTAGCTGTGGCTTTGTCGGAATTCGGCCCCGTTGCGAGGTGTTTTGAACCTGCTTTGTCTTGATTTTGGATGTCAGCTAAAGCCTTAAGCCCAAACCGGGGACCCTCGTGGTAAGCACCGAAACCTACACCCAAAATTTTAAACCATAGTTGTCGAGACCCTAGACCCAAAGCAAAGCAAAGATCCCCGCAAGAAAGGCAGAGGCTTGGAAGCGGTTTAGGGTTCAGGCAGGGTTTAGGGAAGCTTAGGGTCTATAGGATTTCGGGTTTAGGATTTAGGGTTCCGGGCGAAGTGGAAAGCCTGTTGCAAAAGGGTTTAGAGGTGTAGGGTTTAGGGTTTTGGGAAAATAGACGGTCACAGAAGCCGCGGAGAGGTAGCTTTCACCGAAATCCTGCTCTGCTCACGAGGTTTGGAGGGCATCCGGAGTCTAGATGCCTTAGGGTGTTAGGGAAGCCAGCAGGATTGTCTAAGTATTCCAAGGCTCCAGCTGCACATTGCTCTGTTCGATACTAGCTAGCTGGATAGTCCATTCAGTTCACTTTCGGTTCTTATTGCTCTCGTGATTGCTAGCATTAAGTGTGCTTACTCTTTAGACATTGAGAACTTTTTTCTGCCTGTCGGAAGCTTCAAAGTTCCAGACTTCGCTCGAAGCTTCACTTTCGAGCTGCGCCGGTAGCCATTTTGGCTTACTTTTAGTTACCTCGGGACGTAGAGGGTCTCGCAATATGGAGCTTCGTGACAACAAACTTGCCCATGCAAGAAAGATCGATCACGCTCACAGGACAAGCTGTAAGAATGATACCGGTCTCAAGCATCGAGTAAGCTGAATCGAAAAGCACAATACGTATACATGTATGTATGTATGTATGTATGTATGTATGTATGTATGTATGTATGTATGTATATATATATATGTATATATACGCATACATATACGCACGCGGTAAGAAAGTATATACATCTTGCATGGCAAAGCGAAGTGTAGGCCCCGGCCCCGGCTTCTTCAGGGCCTTGGCATCTCACTCCTGGCTCACTTGGAGCAAAGCGGACAAGCACCGACACCTCCAGAGCAACACTTGAAGAAGGATGTGTATGTGAATGCGTGTGTGTGTGTGTGTGTGTATGTATGCATATATATATATATATATATCTATACATATATGTCTGTGTGTATCATCTAAGCTTTCAATCAGGTCAGGCAGATGGCCGACGAGGAGAACCAGGAGGCAGGATCCAGATGTTCATTTCCATCTCGGAGGATGCGCCCGAAACCCCCAAACCGAAAACCCTGCACCCTGAAGCCAAAGCCTAAACCCGTACTCCCACAGCCCCGAGTCCGAAACCCCAAGCCCCTACAATCAACCGCAGCCCGACAAGCTGCGCAGGGTCTGCCTCCACAGGCCAGGCTGGAATGCCCTTCTCTTCGATGGTGTGTATAGAGAGAGTATGCATATTCCAGCGTGCGTCTCGAAGTTTTGAGCCCGTCGAGTTTGGCGGACATTCGTGGAAAGTGTTCTTTCTAAATTCCACTGGCAGCAAGGGCACTATCTCATCTGCGCAAGAAATATGAGAAGATAGCTCAAAGCCCTCTCGGAAGTGCACGCGTCGTCTCAATTTTCTCTAGCTTCGTATGCACTATGCAGGGGACGATGCTGCCAGGGACGCCAGCACGCACCGCCCAGGAGGCCAGCTGCAGACATCCGTTATAACAGTAGAAGCCCACTTGCGGACCTGCTCCGTTGCTGTACTATGGCCATATTCGGACAACAACCTATACTGAATAGTTGACTGGACTCCTAGTTTAGGGTAGCCCTGCCGGACATGCCTCAGTCAGTGCTGGAGGCAAACCGTTTTCTGAAAGCAGGAGAGCTTTTGAATTGCGCGTTGCGAGCTGAACAAGCCCCCCCCCCCCACTTGCTGATTTGATATAATATAGCCCGTCTCCGATGCTCGGTGCCAAAGACCTTTGCAAGGCTCCAGATGCGGCCTGGCCACGAAGGGACAAACTGCTCCTGCCAGCGACGGTGATGGAGACGCTGCAGGCGAATCTGCAGCCTCTGGCACGGGCCAGCCCCGGTGAAGCTTGGCGAAAACTGAGCAAAGCTCTCCTTGCGCAAGGCAGAGCTTCCATTTTGCAGTTGACCTGAGGACTCACTTCGAGAAGCCGCCGCTCCTGACCCTGAATCCAAAGAGGAGGATGGCACGACGTCGGGGATACCCGTGATGTCCTGGCAGCTGGACAGCCTGGAAGAGATGATGTCGTCCCGCAAAGGCTCCGTGGACCCGAAAATTGAGGTCCGCAAGCGCCTGGTGCAAGAGCTCACAAAGATTGGGCTCTGGACAGATACATCCGAGACACAGCCAATTCATACGCGGGTAGCTGTGTTCCAGACAAGGACTGCGCCAGATATACGTGTCTCGGCAGACCACTGGTAGATTTTCGATTGTTGCTTCGTGGAGTTAAACAGGATTCGTGATCCTTCTTCCTTTTTTATGCATAGCAAGGGCCTACCACCCCTAAACCCGAAAGCTTCCCGAGCCGTAGGTGTACATGTTCAGATAGCTCGATCAGACCAAGAGTCCTGGCCCCTTGTCAGCGCGATCCAGTGCACCAGCGTCAGGCGGGAGTTTCAAAGAAGCTGTGGCAAGTCTTAGTGTGGGGTCCCATTAGGATTCTATGTTAGAGCTTATTTTCGGGTCCCCAGATTGCAATGGCCTGGCCTGCTATTTCGGATTCTGATTTCGGGTCCCCTGTCTTCTGAAGCTCCCAGGTGCGGCCTGGCGCAGGATACCGCCTCGAAAGACATATCGCTTCTTGAGGCTCGTAGGTACTGGCGCCAGCGCTTTCTGTCCGAAGCTCTTCAGACGAATCCGGGGCAGCCAGAGCCGGAGAGTGAGAAAGCTGTTCAGAGCATGCAGTGGCCTGAGGCTACCAAAGAGTTTTTCGTGAGCATTCTCATGGAGGCAGTGTTCAATGCCCTGAAGGGTGTGAAGCTTCCAGGCGCTCAGCCCATGCCATCTTTGCAGACAGAATCTCTGCAAGACTTCTTTTTCCCTCCGCTTTATGCAGAAGATACCTATGCAGACATGGGCTGCCAACTGAGCCCACCCGAATTTTTAAATGCAGCAGCCCCACTCTGGATGGCAGTTACGAGGAGTCGGGCAGATACGGAGAAGGAGTTGCAGCGGCTTCACGGCTTAGCCCATCTTCAAGCTGCGTTGAACACCCCTGTAGTTTACAAGTCCTCGTCGAAGAGGGGCAAGCTCCTCTGTGGGAATGTGCTCATGTTCGTGCTGGACTCGTTAAGCCAGCGCCAAAGCGGGAGCGTGGAGATTGTGGAGCAGCGGCACATCGTGAGAAGTCTGCTGGAATGCCGAGCAGATGCAGGGTCGAGTTATGGGATGTTTCCAATTGGAACGAAGGATAGCCTCGGAGAGTTTCCGGTGTTGAGCTTGGCAAAGGACGAGGAAGTCACACAGCTACTGCTGAAGCATAAGGCGAAGCCAGACCAGACGAGTCTTCTGAACTTCTTCCCCTCCGGCTCCTGCCTCTGGACGGCGACCTGGCGATCCAGCCCAGTGCTTAAGCTGCTTCTTCGTCACAGCGAAAAAGTCGACAACCACGGGTGGTACCCAGATACCTCGCCACTCATCCCAGGCCAAGAGCCAGATGGCTGCAGGGTGCTGGCTCTGGCCGCCATGACGTCGGCCGAGGAGCACATGCAGCTGCTGCTGGATAAAAAAGCTTCGCTTGGACAGGACATGGCTCATGTGCTGCTGGGTTCTTGTTGAGCAACTTTAAGTTAAGTATTTCGGTGACCATAGATTTACCATGGGGTTATTCTGGTAGCTTAGCTTAAGTTCCTTAAATAAGAGCCCAGGCTTGCATATTGCCCCAGCGGCAACGCTCGAATCCTGGCTCGACGCCTTTTCCGATCGAAGCAGAACGCGCGACAGATCGTGGATGGCAGTGCCCTGAGGCGAATGTCGGGCATGAGACTGGAGCTCTTCTTCAAAGAAGTACTGAACCATGGCCCCTGCAAGGAAGCATTGCGCGATGCTCTCACTGCCGCATGCCGCGACCCGAAGCGCAAAAATGCAAGGTTTCTGTTGGATCAGACTTTGCAAGAAATCCTAACGAAGGCGCCGCTTGCGGCAGGATGCCTCTTGGATTTTCAAGCCAGGCCTCCCGACGTTGCGGACTTGAACAGGTTTCCCTTGGCTCAGAGCTGCTTCTTCGATGTGCACGAGCTCCAGAAGACGGCTTATGTCGGCGGGGTCCAGTGGACCAACCGCACCGAGGACCGCGCCGAAATGTTTGCAGACATCCTCGCTCCACCAGTTGCAATGTCGCCATGGTTGGCAGGGAAGGCCAAGACTAATCCGTATCTGATGCTCTTCATCACGGCTCTCTACTCCCTTCTCCCAGAATACAGACGCCAGCATGCCTGCGAAATTACCGTGCTCAGGCACCCCAACATCCTCAACCCCACGGTCATGCAGACATTGGAGAAACTTCCTCATGAGCAGCTGGTTACCCTGTTTATGAAAAGCTATGCTTTTCGAGGCATTGCCTATCACCTATGGACCGTTTACAAAGCGCTTTGTTACATGGACGTGTCAATCACCGTGTTGCAGCTCTTGAGTTTGCTGGTTTGGTGGCGGAAGCTCGGCCACAAATCTGGGAACCGTTTCTGCTCCGCCTACCGGAGCGGCACAAACCAGAAAGAGTAGCGCTTGAACAGCAACTTACGGTCAGGAACCCGCATCCGCTAGTGCGCTTGCAGCTCTAGCAGACTCTAGCAGTCACGTGTAAGACAGCGTCCCGAAGCTGTGGTAAACTGCATTGATTAAAAGCTCTGGCACGTGAGGAATGCTCTCAGCGAGGAGATTGTGATTTCATGTTGGTGCATATTTACAGCCGGTGTGCTTCTGGATGCATCAGGCGTGTTGTTGAAGCTTAGTCAGCTACGTCGGCCTTCACTCAAACGAGTTCTACAGACAGGCCTGGGTTTCTGGATGTCGTACAGCACATGGGCAGCAACCACCTCGAGTCCTTTTCGCACTCCCATGGCAGTGAACATGGCTCTTGGGATTCTGGGTGGTATCTACGAGCTGAGGCTCTTCTACCCCCTGGGCCTTCCCTTGGGTTCCAATTTGGTTCCCATCATGCGGGCTGCCCAGACCAGCCAGTTCATGGCGATGCTGATCCTCTTGATACTGGGTTTTTGTTAAGAAGCTGAAGTAGTTCAAGTACCAGAGAAAAAAGCCTAGTCTCCTGGTTTTTGTTCGATATCCTAAACCCTATGTAAACCCTAATGTATTGCTACTTGTTGAGAGTTCGTTTTAGTAACAAAGGGAATATACATCCCTTATCGATTCCTATTTGCATCCTGGAGCCGAGGATGTCCATCATTGCTGCAACCTATCTGGCAGCCTGCGTGGAATTCCGGGAGCTGGGAGATGAACTCTTACCAGTTGCCGTAAGGACCTGGCAGACCTTGATCGTCGGAGAATCCTCTTTGTATGATGTTGACGACTATGAGCACGAGCTTCCACGATACCTGTTTATTTCCGCGCTCTTCTTTGTCTGCAATGTAGTGCTCATGAATATCTTCATCAATGTAACTGGCGCAAGTTACGAAGAAGAGCGAAAATTGGAATGTGGCACTTTCAGTGCTGAACGATTCGGTACTTGCATGGAGTTCACAGGCGTCACTTCAAGAGGCCGTCAGCTGGTGTTGGTGTTGGTAGGCTTGGCCGTGCTGAGCAAAGCCGCCATCAGCCTGATTCAGTGGCAAACGAGGATCCTGATCTGCGAAATCGCAGTGCTTGCGTGCTTCTTACTGCTCTATGGTGTTCAATGGTTTCTGAGCATGCGGGCTGACCGGCTCTTTGACAGAAGCGGCAAGCCCCGATATTTGTGGATATGTCGTGCTGTATGCCAGGAGGATGAGGATGAGACCGAGAAGGATGAAAAGACGCCGGTGGAAAGCCCTTCTGGCCCAACTACTTCAGTTGCTGAAACCGTCGCCCCCAACATGCCTATGAGGCGCCCCACAGTTCCCACAGTTCCGACAGGTCTACAGCGTGACTGGTTGCAGGAGTTCGTCGCAAGCATGCAGCTGGACTTTGGAAAGTATCTGGAGCTCACTCTTCAGCTTGCAGAGAAGAACAGCATATTGCAAAGCCACATCCTGGAATTCCTTCGAAGTTCTACTTGCCAACACACTGACTCCAGCCAGTGCATCCTGGACCTCCCGAAATACTTGCTGCAGACCCTCCAGTGGTCGGAAACGAACAGCCTGGTGCAGGGCGAGCTGCTGCACTTCATCGCAAGGCGGGGGTTTCCTGCTCTTCGATTTCTTATAGTAAGGATCCTGCTGTTTAGAGAGTTCGGTTTTCTGACCGCCATCTCTTCCGAACTTCGCAGGTGTGCCAAGGATCAAAAGTCTGCCTGCGAATACGTGGATCAGCTCATCTCCCGATTGAACCTTTCAGCAGACGATGCCACTCATGTGCGAAAGCAAGCGCAAGAAGCATGGTCGGGTGGAAGCACAGCTCAAACAGACTAGTGAGTAGTTCCTTGGGCTTTGCACTTCGGCGAAACCTGCCGATCCGCCTTCTGTGAAAACTCACGACCGAGTGTGCGATTCGCGTGGCCTTTACCCCGACCTAAAGTGGATCCAAAATCTAGAGTAGATGCTATAGTCCAGAGCTCTAACTCGCCACCTCATGTATATATATATATATATATATCCATACATGTATGCATGTGTGTATGTATGTATGTATGTATGTATGTATGTATGTATGTATGTATGTATGTATGTATGTATGTACACTCTACGATGGGGGGGTAATCCTTGAAGAGATTTGCCTTGAAGATCTTCGCAGGGTCTGGGAAGAGCTTCTGGGCAACTTGCACCAGAGGGCCGGATGGCGCCTGTTCGTTGAATGTGGCTCGCAGTCAGACATGTCCATCTAGTGTGGCGGGGACAGCCACATAGGGGCACCGAGGAGGCGCGAGGCAGAGGAACTAAGACAACTAAGAGGACATGCATGAGACAGTCAAGCAAAGCTTTGCTTACAACATCGGTGCCCACCTTCGTCTGACCTTAATTTAGTGCCATTCACAACTGCCACTCGCGCGCGGCCCTCTGTCACCCGAAGTGTAGCATCCCTGTCTCATCGCTGTTTTCTTTTCCGAGACCGGCCTGTCAGTTTGTGCGTCTCATCTTTTAGCCATTGCGAAAGCCCGCAAGCCCTCGTTTCTCGGTTCCAACATAGGCTGCAATGCCTGCTGAGGTCCAAGCCGCATGGCAGGTGAAGGCAATGCTTCCCGGCAGGCAGCCTTGCAATTGTAAACCTTTTGGGGTGGAACATGTGTTTCTCAACTTCTCGACAGTCAAACACTTCTGGATAGACGAACATTCGATTCTTGACCCGAGTTGACATATGTCACTCTACATAAAGATACATGCAGCAGTATCAGTCTTGGTGGGTCTAGGGTCTAGGTAGATAAACAAAGACATCTTGCAATCTACACGACCCGAGCCGAGGCGCCGCTGTCAAACAGCGGCCTCCTCACGGGAACAGCCACTTCGGAGAATCCGAACGACGAGGCGGCCGCCAGCTGAGCTGGGGTTTTGAGGTGGCTCCAGGATTTGCAGAGAGATAACTCGTAAAAACTGATGTGTGTATTACATGCCATGTCAAGTTTTGCGTACGTATACATGCCAGGGACATTCCAATAGATGTAAAAAGGCCCTTAAACAGAGACGCTAAAGTGTAGCGGCTTATCGCATTCGGGTCATGGGCTACGGCAGAGGCCTTCTTGGAGCTCAAGGCTTGTAGGCCCTCGACGGACGTCGGGTGCTTGCGATTGAGACTGTGTTGCTGGCTGGTAGGGGTCCCATGCATGTGGGCTACATCCCGATTTCTCGCCTCACCCAAAGCCTCCACGTAAAATGCCGGAGGTGCCGAGGTCCGGCAGTTGGCCACAAAGAATCCCGCCGAAGCCTCGGGGGCCGGGCGAGGTCTTTTTAAGAGAAGCACTTCGTGTTTTTCGCGAGCTGATTTGCAAAGGTCCAAGGGGAGCTCTCGGCCAGAGCCACGCAGCCTCTTCAGCGCGCTCCACGGCTGTCGGACTGTGGGGGCAGGGAGGATATGGCACGTCAGGCGCGATGGCCGAGACGGTGCGAGGCTATCTGCGAAAGGCGCGAACTTCCGCGAGTCGGTTTCGGTTTCTTCAAATTGCGAGCCGAGATGCAGGCTCAAGACGCCGAACAGGCCCAGAGGCTGCCGCAGGCGGAGCATGCGCTGAAGCCGCAGACATCAGACATCCGCAATATGTGCAGCACATACTTTCGAGGGAGCTATTGACATGACGCCTGACTGCAGCCGCCTGCACATAGTATGAATGCGCATCGTGAGTTGGGGACCCAGCTAGCTCAAGAAGGAGGAATGGACGACTTGGAAGGCTCGGCGCCGACCCTCTTGGGAGCGTCGCAGCTCCAACTCCCAGGCCAGGAGCCGTACAATTGATGCAGGAGTCGACTGGAGAGACCGGCTGCTTTGATGAAACGTGGTCCTTCACAGTGTGAGCCAGCATGGGCATCTGTAGCCCTGACAACCCATCTCAAGGCCCCGATCTACTTACTCACCCCATTTTCTTGGACTCTGACATCCATTTCAAGGGTTTGGGGTTTAGGGTTTGCCTCCGCTCCACTCTCGCCCCCAGGCTCGCCGAGCCTGGCCGAGCTCCGAGGCGCTGGTTAGAATTTCCCCACCGGAAAAGCTTAGGGGCCCTGGGGTTCTGGAGATCCGGAGATCCTAAGACCGCTTTAAGGAAGGAAGACTCTTTGCGCCCGTAGCAAGTAGCTCTAATTATTCAGATACGAACTCGCATCCATCATCGACAAACTGACAATGGCTCGCCCCTCAACACTTCTTGAGTTTTTCTCTTGGATGAATGCGTATTTAGCTCTCCGGATTCTGTTAAAAGTGCAGGCCGGCCTCACGGACGTCGTGCGAGAGGTCTTGGCAGCAGTCAAGGCCTCTGGGAGATCTGATCTGGGCGCCAAACCCAAAAATCTAAGCCCAACCGTACACCCCAAACCTTGAAGAGCACTGTTCGAGTGTGAAGTTGCAAACCCTTCGAGGCTCGCTCGACTTGCTCCCTTCTCCCTGGCTCTTCGAAATGCCAAACGGGTTGTATCGCGCGAGTTGTGTTTGCACGGCACCTCCCGTGTCTCCGTCTGCCTTGTGCTTCCCCCTCATTGTGTGACTCACGTTTTGCTCTCGGTCGTGGATGCGCCTGTCAGGAGCAGAAGCCCGAAGCTGCGCAAGAAAGCAGGACCAAGTTGTCCAAGGACTCGCTGCACCCCAACAAACCCAAGGAGCTTTAGTCGCCTGGAAGCATCCATTGTTTCCGACACCCTGGTGACAGGATCCTGGAATCTCTGAGGCCGGGTGTAGGGATTAAACCAGTTTTGCCGTACCTATTTCGAAGTCGTTATGAGTCTCAAGGATCTTGCTGATTAAGTGAAACTCCACCTGCTGAACCTGCATGCTTTTCACGGGAATCCTGTGTTGGCGTACAGAACCCGTCCGAACGCAGAGGGCCCTTCTTGGCTTTCCTGGTTGGGGGTTAAGTTGCGTGTATCGTTTTGAGGCCTTGGCTCGGGATTTAGGCTTCAGGGTTGAATGAAGTACCATATACATATATATATATATATGTACACATGTATAGATTATAGATAGGATTTCAATATAGCTGAAGCACGCAAGGTCCCCCGCCCTGGACCGTCTCATTGGGCTGGTCCGGGCCTGGATGAAGCCATGCCCGAACCACCGCAGACTACGGAGGCGAATGGACAGCCAAGTCGGATAAACGGGGCTCAGGACTTTGCATGATTTTATACCATGTTCTATTATATCATAGTACTGTAGTGTTATCATACTATATGACATAGGGGGTCATCGCTGGAGCTTGTCGAGCAAATTGACTTGGTCTCCAGGCCGTCGCGCATCTCCAGCAAGCCTTGAAGGCCGGGGCAGCTGTGGTCGTTGGGTTTGCATTCGGGATTCTCGTGCTTTGAGCGACGGAACCTCTTCACGGATATCTCAAGCGAAGACAGTGCCTGATGCCCCCCCGTGGCTTCGAGGCTCAGCAGGCATCGTTCGAAAGAGCGATGCAGGACTCATGTCGCGGTTGCGAGACACTTTAGCTAGGCGCTGCGAGCACGCAGGAGCAGGCGGCACAGCACCAACGAATCACAGAGGCCTTTGCTCTGGTGGGGCAGACATGAGAAGCTTTTGGTGTGCACCACAGCGCATGTCCCCAGCTCTTTCACAGAGACACGTTGACTACGTGGCCACCGGTCCCGCAGGCACAGACGGCATCTTTCGTCCAAGCTCTACAGGACCGACCCAACTTATCCAGTTGATTCACCCAATGCAACACGGTCAGACTGCACAAAGAGCCGGTTCCAATCAATTCTGGCGTGCAAAGCTTGCCGCAAAGACTTCCAGGAACGGGAGAAAGCCCTCGAAAGAATCTTGCAGGCCCGGTCCTCTGCCCTACGCATGTATTTTCCATTAGGTTCCAATCCAGGGCGGCCTTCAGGGCATTTGTCATGGAAGATGTTGCGGCAAAAGGGCCCAATGTTGGGACCGCAATTTGGAGCAACCCTCGTGTCCTACTTCGGGTCCATTTTCAACCTTAGCGAATGCTGCGTCTGTCAGACTTTCTTGTCATAGCTGCATGCCCCAGCTAGGGCTTCCGATCCAAGGTCTTCCCTTGTGATTGCTTGTTGCGTAGTCGGTGAGGCATGAACTGACGCTTTGCCCTTTGATGGGGTCTTCATGCCAGATGAGACCTGTTGAAATTGAGCAAAACTTCCTCGATCCGACCATCTTCGGGCGGGGTGTAGAAGTCTCGAAAGGCTGCGGCATCAATCAACATGACCAGGCCATGTCGTTTCAACTGCCGTGAAGGAGCACAACCGTGCTGTCAAATGTTCATGCGCCGCACAAGTCGTATATGTGCTGCACACAAATCAGGTATGAACGTACGCATGTACATGGAAAACACGAGTAACTTGTGTGTTCATTTCGATGCTATTGATGTGCGAAGAACAGACGTGATTTTTGTAGAGAAAGCCAGCTGCTGCCACCTGCGACACAGCCAGCTTCGGTGCTGAGGTCACGCATGGATTTGAGATTGCAGTATCTCGCGTGCAGCATCCAAGTCAGATCTCTGCCGTAGGTTTCAGGCCCTGTCAAGGCCCCACGAACACGGCTGGATAGTGCTTGTCAGCTGAGTGGGTTCTCAGATGCACATGAGGAGAAGTCTGCCAAAGATGCGCAAGGATCCAAGCCGCCCGAGGTGCCTCGAAAGCTAACAGAGCGATCTATGGGCATACCCGTAGACACGCTGCCTGCAGTCCAGTGCAGCAGGTAATTTTGCGGAGGGTTTGCTGCGTTCGTTGCCTGCACAGGCGGCGCAGGACGTCGCGCTTACGCAGGCCACGAGGTTTTTGCAGAGATGCATCAGGGACCGAACCTTCACATTGCGAAGGGCTTCAGAATGGATGGACATCATGTAGGACTGTGATTCGTTGGGCATCCCTCTAACAACTCGTCTGGAGGCCTGTCCGGGCCTGGATGAAGCCACACCTGGACCGTCGCAGCGTGCGGAGGCGACCGGACGACCCAGCTTCATTGATTCGGCGGCTGTCGTTTTTGCAGTGCAGAAGCCGGACTTGAACCAGACTGCAGGCAGTGCAGCCCGTCTTCCAGCTCCAGCAAGCCCTGGAGGCCAGTCCGTTGGTCTCTCGTCAGAGCCAGTTTTTTGCGCATACACCTTGTCGGTACAGGAACAGGCGGCTCTTCAAGAACGAGTCGGGAAGGCTGGCGTATAGACCACAGGCTAAAGCTTAAGGGTACATATATAGAGACGCGACATGTGCTCTTAGCTGTTTTCCGGCCCAGTTGATGGCATCCTCCCAGATCCTAAAGGCGACCATGCAGGACTGATCGGCGTCGGCGTAGTTGCTGCAGACAGCTACAGCTAGCAGGTGCCATGCACGCTTTAGTCGATCTTATCCATCTCGGGCAGACAGATGCACAGACTGTTTGCAGGAGCGGGACCAGAAGCTCCAAAAGCTCTTACAGGCACGCGGCTCGCGTAGTCCGGAGGTCCCAGGCCTTCAGCCCTACTGTGCTTTTTCGGAGACTTCTCGGATGCCAGGCTGCAGGTCACGGCGAGGAGCCAGCTTTGCCAGGCCGGATGCGCCCTCTGTGTACCTGCAAAACTCCGACCTTGCGGCACAGGGCAACTGATGGATGACTCTGAGGACTCTTCAGATGCGCTTGCAGCCTTAAGCCCCGCGACCGTGAGACGGTCTGGCTACGTCGCATGCTTTCGGCAATCGGCTTCTGAGCCGGCCGTCACAGGAGGAGTCCTCCGGGCGACCGCAAGACCACGGGCACTGGGCTTCATGCGCCGAGGCCGAGCTCAAAAGTTTTTCTTTCTGAAGCGTATACAATAACATTCTGAAGCGTATACATGGTAGTTAATTTAGTATAGTATATTGTATCAGCTACGGGCCATGGCTTGTAAACATTCTGGCATAGGAACAGCAAGACTTCAGGCCGTCGAGCTGCAGGGACCTTGCGCAGCGGTTCGACTTGTCTGGCAGGCCACGGCTGCGCCGAGTCCAGGGCGCAGGGAGCAGCAGCCCACTGCTGAGGCCAGCTGCATCATAATATCTATCGATAGATCGATCGATCTATCTATCTATCCATCTATCCATCTATCCATCTAGCCATCTAGCCATCTAGCCATCTAGCCATCTAGCCATCTATCTATTTATCTATCCATCCAATCCAATCCAATCCAATCCAATCCAATCCAATCCAATCCAATCCAATCCAATCTAATCTAATCTAATCTAATCTAATCTCATCTAATCTCATCTAATCTCATCTACTCTACTCTACTCTACTCTACTCTACTCTACTCTACTCTACTCTACTCTACTCTACTCTACTCTACTCTACTCTACTCTACTCTACTCTAATCTGTCTGTCTGTCTATCTATCTATCTATCCATCTATCTATCTGTATACACGTATAAAGGAATATACGAAGCTAGATACATGAATGAATGAACAAATAAAATAAACACGTAAAAAACAAATATGTATTTCTTTATCTCTTTTTTACTTACATTATTGTGCTCTCTCTGTTTCTCCATCTCCCTCTCTCAATATAGATATATAGAGACAGAAACGTACATTAGAGTCTCCGAAAGTCAGCCCGAACCAGCTCGAGTCATGAATCGTGTTCTTTCTCGGAAGATGTCGACCGATCAGACCACACACCGCAAATGCGGTAGATGTTGTGCAAGATACACTCCTCGGCACGCCCAGGCTGGCTCGCTGGAGACGAAGGCGAGGCTGCGAGTGCTTCTGTAGCCTGGGGCAACCGCCGGCGGTGTGTAGACGAGTCCGGCCTGCGGAAGGACTGCGCCTGTTCGATCTGAGTCCTGGAAAACAGGAGCCTGAGCCTGAACGGCCTGAACTTCCCGGTCCAGCTTGCTACTTGGCCTTGGAGGCCAGTTACCGGTAGCTGCTCTGAGGGCAAGCTCCGCCAGAGACAGTCCGCAGTCCAACAGGACGGCCGCGCCACGTCCTTGCAGGAAATCGAAAGTGTCACACCGAAAGATGACAAGCCGGCAGCTGCGCGTCTGCATGTTAGTCACTGTGCCCTTGTTCAAGCTGTCGCCAACATTGTCCTGAAGTCTGTGTAAAAGTCTGTAGCTACTGAGATGAGATGGCCCCACACTCGCTCCTCGGCTTCAGGTGCCGCAAGGCATGCGCTTCCAGTTCTTCCTGGATCTCATTGAGGACTCCCCGTGGTGTTAGTGGGTCTTGTCCTTCACCGTTTCCCCTGAATCGCCAACCGTGATCAGCCAGAAACGTTTGCGGCTCGGGGTGTGCCAACTTCTCCACCACGCCGAGAAGCGAAGCTTCGAAGGAGAAGCGCGAGTGGCTTGAGAAGTCCACAGCCCGCGGCAAAGGGAGGAAAAACATGTACGACGTGTGCCCAGAGGTGATCATCGCCCGGACCCCGGATTTGTCTCTTTGCTTCCTGCCATTTTCACCATAGAGTCCATTCACATCCCGAGGAGAGGACAACCTGCGCCTCGGCTGCAGAGCTTCGTAGTGCCTGGGAGCTTTCGGGCTCATGCCCCGGCTTCGAGGCGAGGAGCAGATCCTGGTGCTCTCGGAGGCGGACGCGGGCGAAATCGCGAGCTCCCTCGCGGACCCCAGCGGCGACCAGAGCATCTTCCTGCCAGACTCCCTGCAGCGTCGATCCGGTGTACACCTCGGCGGTATAAATGTGGAAGCTTGGGAGCAGTGAGTTCCAGCATATTTTTGCGAGAATGCATTTCAGCAGGTCTTTCTGAGAATCCTGCTCCATGCAAGGATGGATTCGCCATTCAGGGCATCTTGTGCCAGGAGCTTACCAGCCTGCTTGCTGGTGATGTGCACTGCTTGCTGTTGGATGGCATTGGCCCAGACGGCGGCAGTGACATCTGTCATGAACAACTCCTGAGGTGATGGCGGTGGCCAGCGCAGGGAGTACTGGGCGGCACGCGCCGTGCCTCGCCTGGCTTTGCTGATCAGCCCCCCTTCAGTCTCGAGAAAAGCTTTATAAGGATCGGCAGAAGCACTGGATGACGACTACCGAACATGGCCGGGTGGACAAGGCTTTCGGCCCGAGCTCGCGTGCACAGTGTGCCGAGAAACTTGCGTCGGAGTCGGCGGCAGGGCCCTTCAGAGATCCCGGCCCACCTCCAAGACTGCGGGAAGCTGGGCGAGAAGTCGGCGCGGCGGGAGAAGGAGCTCCTGAAGCAGCCGGGCACGGTCGTGGTGCTTCGTCGGGGAGTGCCTTGGATTTCCCAGCAGTCTTTCAGTGCCAACACATGAGAGCATGAGAGACTGCTGCGCTGGGTGTGAGTGCGAGGTGCCGTATGCTCAGCTGGAGAAGCCCGGAGAGTTGGGCCTGCTCACCAGCTTCGTTTCGCACGCCTGGGGCGAGGACGGGACCTAACTACTTCCACTGTGGAGAGCGGGTTGTGCAGTGTGGTGTGTTCTCTGGTGACTCTTGCCCGACATGTCTCTGAGAACCCGGAGAAAACCTGAGCACCGTCTTTTGTAGGAGACGCTGGACTTCGCCCACACGCTGAAGCTGCATGCCGAGGACGTGAACCCCTCGAACCCAGGACCGCCTTTACCACTCCTCGGGTTTTGTTTTGCGTCTGCTTTGGCCTTGTGGCCTGGCCTTTCTGTGCATTGAAGCTAGACGAGCAGGTGCCCTGGTCTACTACATTTGCACGTGGCTCGCCCTACATTAGCCGCAAAGCACAACAGTATACTTGCGCGTTTTCGTGCGCCGAAGCTAGTGCTGAACCTCCCGCATCCACGCAGCCGCTTGCACCCGCCCACCGTCATGATCGCGGTGCATGCCAGCCGAGGTTTTGCAACAGCCAGCATAGCGTGGCCCCGGCCTGAGACAGCCGTGCAGCGGGCAGAGCTTCGCTCTGTGCTGGCAAGGACTTGGGCGGCGACGACTGGCGCCAGTCCCCTTTCAATCTCGCCTTGGAACACGTGGCAAGCTCCCTCCCTGGCGTTTCGAGTCGATTTTGCTATGTTTGCGTGTGGATAGCTTTTGGAAGCAAACAGGTTGTCGGCAGAAGTGTGGGCCGATGTACCGGGCGGTGATGCTGTGGTGGCCCGAGTGGACCTTGCTCGATCTGCGCAGCAGCACAGCGCGTGCACGCGACCACAATCGTGCTGTTCATGCTTCGTGCCACCTGCCGTGAGGTTTGACAGGTCTTGCAGCACATTGAAGTGTCTCGGTGGGCATACTGCGCCTTAGAAAACAGACGGTCTGCCGCCACCGGCTCCATTTGCGAATCGCAGCACCTTGCGCTGCCTCGCGTCTCAGGCGGAAGTGGTGCATTTTCGAAATCTTCCGCTGCCAAAGTCTCGACCTGGAGCTAGACCTGCCGCTCCGGTTCAAAAGATAGGTATCGGGTCTTGTGTGGAACTCTTAATTTCCGAAACCTCGAAACTTCAGAACTAGTCTAGATGATCCGGCCTGAACTTCAGCAAGAAGAAGATCCTTTCCTTCTAGAGGTTGTGCTTTAGGGTCTTTGTGTTGCGTGGGTCTTCATCTTGCGTGTTTCACTTCATTGCAGACCTCGAACCATATGCCTCGCCAGGAGTGTCCGCGCCGAAACCTCGAAACTTTGACTGCAGGTATTGCAGGGACGGTGAGCTCACCCGGGCGAGCGAGTCGCAGCACGCAAAGGAAATCTTGCTGAAGGTCATGGAGGTGGACATGATGGCCGCCGAATGTTCTGAAAAGAAGGCCGGCATCACATTGTAATGTGGTGTGCTGACATGCACGTGTAGTGTGTATATCTGATTCTACCTAGCCACGTGCCGAGCCAAGTGCTTGATGCTTCCAGTATCACTCGCTTGATCCGAGGATGAGAGGACGATCGACGGTGCCATCGTTGATCACCCGGCTGGCTGGACCGGCGTCGTGTCCAAGGTGAAGATGCAGGTTCTTCCGGCAAAGAGGGCGGGCGGGCTTCACGGAAAATGAAGCTCTTGACTATGACAATGCTTGAAGAGGTAATGGGCCACCTGTCCTTTGTGGCCCACATGGCCATGACCCGCGATGCCTTCACAGGCGGCTTCCTTTCAGCGCAACAAAAAATAGAGTTGCCCGGATCCCAAACTACCCCGGCCTTGAAGGCGCCTTCGGACTTCTCCCGTCGCCCGAGCCATCTGAAAAGAGTTTTCGGGCGCGAGAGGCCAGCAGATCGAGCCGGAGCAGTCCATTGAGCTGGAGGGCCAGGGCTTTGGCAAGGCCCGGCTGAAGCCGCAAAGCCTAGGCAAAGTCTGCCGCCTCAAGCTCCCGTATCTGTGCAGGTGAGCCTGTCGGAGCTCATCGACGGCTGCATGCAGGTGCGCAGCATTGCGCAGCCTTCGAAGCAACGAAACACTTGCCGCCCCAATTTGGCCTTCCGAGAGGCGTGTCTGTCCGCATGCTTGCCCTGAGCTCGGAGACGCTTCGCTTTGGGTTCGGACTTCAGCCTTGCCGTCGCATACAGAGCGGAAAAACCCCTCAACTTGGGAAGCCGTTGCGATGGGAAATTGGCCTCCAAGCTCGCGTCTTGGCAACCCGCGGCGCCTTTAAGGTCTGCTGCCGGGCAGCAGCATGTCCCCGAATCTGAGAATCCCGCCAAGGCAGGAGGGCATGGTCGCTCTCGCGAAATTGCCTCTGCAGCTGGCAGGCTCAGCTGAAGCGGGTGCTCATCACTGGCCAGGGAGGCCGGAGAGATTGTTGTGAACCTCGACATAGGCCTTGTGCGGCGTGGGAGCGGAAGCCGTGAGCAGGCACGGGCAAGACCGTCATCACCAGGGAGATCGTTCGGGCAGCCGTCCCTTGTCGATGCAATTGGCGGGAGGATGCGCTTCAACACGAAACAAGTCTCCTGGATTTCTTTTAGTTCGTCATAGCGCTCAGGTGAAGCTGGCGCGCACGGCCCTTATTCGGGAGAGCTGGCATCTTCTGAGTCTGTAGCGTTCTTTGCGGCTGAGGTGAGAAGGCTCTGCGGCTGGTCCCGCTGAGAGTTCCGCTTGCCGAGCTCGCTCGGTATGCTCAGGACGGGACGAAGACGTGGAGGGTCCTTGCCAACGTGTTATGACAATCACTAAGTCACTAAGTAACTAACCAGGGCCTGCCCAAAGGGAGGAAAGGTGCATGGGTTCGTTTTCAGTATGTACAATATGTCGACTCAACGCCGACTTGTAGCTGTTCCGCCTCGATGGTCGATGGAAGACCCGTGCTGCCTTCGTAGGGATTGTTAAGATATCGAAATTGGAAGACCGCGCAGCCTCTCAGAATAGATGCAGCTAAGTAAGGGTCCATGGGCATTGCCTTGCAGGAAGACGGCGACATGCCTCTCATCTGCAAGAAGTTGGAAGTCGGAAAGACTGCTCTACGTCTGGCGTCGGGAAGGAAAGTGGCAGGCATGTGCATCTGAGGCTGCAGGCTTGGGCCGCGCAGGCTTTTGGCAAGGACGGTCAGGAGCTTTTACAAGGCCCATGGCGCGCCTGCAGCCACCTCCCCCATAACACTGTCAGATTTGGCGAGATTGTCAGGTGGTCGGCAGCTGCTTCTGCTGCTGGACGGCTTGGACGAAGCGGGAACGGACAGGCGGCGCATCATCAGCTGGCTCGACGGCTGGCTGCAGCTTTTCGGCAGCACTTGGACTCTAACCGGGGCTGTGCTGCGTTGGCCCCCAAGACCCTTGCAGGAAGAACAGCGATCGCTGCGCCTGCGTCGTCGTGACCAGCCGGCCCTCTGGCACCGATCAGCCTGGCCCTCGGAGTCTGCGCCGAGTCGACCTGCGGAAGATCAAGCACAAGTTCATCGATCAGCGTGGACATCTGCAGAGAGCTTCAGCCGACATCCAGCGTTTTTTCTTGCTGATGCTTGATGCTGGCAATGCTGTGCTTTGAGGGTGGTCGACGAGGAGGGCAAAGCGAGGGAGCCTTCGAAGTCCTCCGTTCTGCACCTTTCCGAGGATCACCTGATCACACAGGACGGGCGATGTGCTTGATAGATGCCTCAAGGTCTCGGGGAAGGTCAGCATCGGCTAGCGACTGCTTGTGTGACAGGCACCGTGCCTAAAAGACACATGCGCGAACATCGGTTCGGAGCGGTGTTGTTGAAAGGCCATTGAAGGAGGGGTGGCGAGATCGGAATCCTCAGGAGCAGCACCCTTTTCACCGAGTGACTATATAGGCATCAGAGAGTCCGTCAACAGACCCCAGGACCAAAGCTGTTACCACACCAGAAGATGGTCAGGACAGCTTCCGACAAGGATCTCCTGTTCAACTCATCGACAAGCGTGACATCGTGACTGGCATCGGCAAAGTGCGCTTCTGCGAGGAGGCAGTGTCCGGTTTTTTTGGAGGACAGGAAAAAGTGCATATGTAGATTTTCTGTGTGTGCATATATATATATATATATATGTGTGTGTGTGTCTATAGTTACATATGAAAAATACATGTATATATATATATATAATATGATTGCACCTGTACTGGACCTGCGTACCTGCACATGCATGTACATACAGCTAACAACTGCAGCCATAACTGTGGTAATGACATGGTATTGGTAATGGTGTTGAGGATGAGGAGGACGTGGAGGACTACAAAGACAATCATGGGACATAGGACAAAGCAGCAATAAAACCAGCCGCAGTAGCAACGACAAACATAATATTTCATGCAAATACTAATACTATAATGCTCATCTTCCTGCTCATATGCAAAACCGTTCCCCCTTACGTTATAGTAGTATAATAAGTTTATTCGGGTGGATTAAGTCCTCCGCTAGCGAGGCCACGTAAAATGCACTTTTCGGTCTTCGCCTTTCTCCGCATAGGGCAAGAGCGACGGATCTTTAGTCCTGCGGATGTAAATGATCATAGCTATGCCCCGCCCTCTCCCCGCGACGGCGATGCCATAAGCTAGCACTTTAGACTCTAGGCGACGCCATAGAGTAGCCATTGATCTGAAGCCTTAAATGACGAACATCAATGAAGCTTGGGTAGATAGTAGGAGTGGAATGCGTAGCTGGCAGGTGGTTGCATGGAGGCTTCTCCGGGATTTCGGTCTGGTGTTCCTGGTGTTAAGGGTAAACTGTTTTAGGGTCTCTTGCCTGGCTCTCCATGCCTGCATTGTGCGAGCGCGCGACTAAACCGAGCTTGAAGACTGCAGCCCTGAAAAGCTTAAACTGAATGTTTGCACTCTGGTTCAAGCACTGCAGCGAAGTACGTTAAGCCCGCAATCCTGACAAAAGCGTTCTTTCCCAAGTAACGAGCACGTGGGCTGGCCTCGCATGGTCCAATAATAAGTTGCCGGAGTGCATCGTCGCATGACCGACTTGACCATCTGGGAATTCGGTGAGATATATACACGTACAGGCACTCATACATTGAAGGGAGGGATGTCGTTTCAACTCAGCCGGAGCTTCATAAGCGAAGCCTGCTCAGGGCTTCGTCCTCCCGGCCGACTGTGGCCTGCAGCCTCCAGGGTGTCAGGTACGGCTGCGACGCAAGGAGGCACCAGGTAGTGAAGCCCTGCTTCTTCTTCGCCCTCTTTTCGTAACTGCAGGACTCTGACTGGCTTTTCTCCCCTGCGATCACTCTGCACCACTCCGACAGCAGCCGCGCAGAAGCCCTGCTTCGCCGGGCTTGGCAGCATGCCGCCGGTGCCGCGGCCGAGGGTTCGAGGGGCGAGGAACGCGTGGTCGTCGCCCGGGTGGATGGCGAGCGCTGGCAGGACGCTTGGATTGCAAGCGGCCTTTTGAACTGCAACTGCCCCTTCCGCGGAACGCACTTCACGAAAGCTTGCATCAAACTCTTGCCCGTCAGGATACAGACCCCATAGTTTGGCGAAAGCTCCTGGGCTGGCCGGCGGTGGCCTTTCCCTGCCGCGCCTGCCTGGCGGTGAAGGTGAAGGACAGCGCTGCAAGAGGGAGGGCGCCCGCTTGCAGTGCCTGCCGGGGAGTGGGGTGCTTTGGGGTCTGAGCTGAACGATCGGGTTTGTGCTATGAGCTGTTGAGGTTTGAGTGCCGCTGTACAACCACGGGACCAGGGTAATAAGGATCAAGCTTTGAGCGCCCAGGGCCAGGCCCTACAACAGGCCCTTTCGACTTTGAGTGTTTCGGCGTCTTGGGGCCTTTCGCGGGAAATGGAGGATGAGTCAGAGGAGGATCGGGAAGAAGAGACGCCAGTGTGCTGCCCTCAGCTTCAGGGAGTGCTGCTTCGCTGCTTGAGCCCCTGGAAACGGGGCTTGGGCTCCAAGGCGAGTAGAGGCCTGCGGCGGCAAGGTCTTGGTCACCGCAGCGGGTCTGGCGCCAGGCTCCCTGCTGAAAATGTTGGGAGCGAAAGGCTCGATCAGTCGAGCGGCACAAGCAGGGACGCAAGAGAATACGCCTTCTTGATGTGCTTAGGGCCAGGGAGGCACAGGGGCTGAACCGGGACAGAGTCATGCAGTGCACAGCAGGCGACCGGCTCAGAAAAGGAGACCGTTCCATCGAGCTCTGGCCCACGCAAGGCCGGCTCTGTACTCTCCACTTGCATGCATACATCACATAATATATATATATATATATATATGTATAACGTTGCTTTATGCATGTATGTATGCACGCAAACGGAAAATGTAGGTATGCATATAAATCGATATGCAAAACAGCCTGACACACCTTCAAAGCTCCTTCGCTTCGGCTGCAGCCGAGTCGTAGTTGGAGGTGCTTTCCGGACGTCCTTGGAGGACACAGCGAGCAGTGGCGGCACTCCTGCTGCGGCCTTTCTGTCGGAGATGACCCTGCGAGCCGAGCTCTCCGAGCAGCCCAGGGCCCCAGCCCGTTGTGGTGATGCATGCGCATTCACGACTCCTTCCACGGGGCGCCCCAGGCTGCAATTCCGACCCCTGCAGCTGCTGCCGCTGAGCCCGGGCATCGCAGCCAGGAGCACCTGCCGATGGTGAGTATATGCGATGCAATGCGTCGCCTGTGAAACTTCGTTGAAGTCTTACGCAGTGTGCAGGATCTCCAAGGTCCCAGAGCAGATCCTGGAAACACTGCCGGACGTGGCAACTTGGCGCATATCGTTTCCCTATTGCAATGAGCGAGGCGGCCCGTGGATTTCGGCAGGATTGAATGGAGCTGCCATGCATGCAGAGCACGAGAGACTCTGGTCGTCTTCCGAGGTTTGGGGCACACCATTGATGGCCAGCATCCTCGGCCGTTTCCTCGATGTCAGCATGTGGCTTCTCATGCCTTCATAGGTCCTTTCCCTGTGCGTCCGTGACACTTCAGGAGAGTACCGGCAGCAACAGGACCAAACGTCGCCCCAACACCGAGCGCATCAGCATCCGATCCCGCCCCGTCCCGGAAGGAACAGATGGACACGGTGACGGCGGAGCTGGATCTGATGGAGTATGCACTTGAAACGCTCATTGCGAAGGTGCCACACCGCCGGTGCATGCGTTCAAGAATTCGTTCCTTTCACGCTCGACTTCAGAGAGACTACCCCCAAGTCCCTCGACGAATCTGTGCAAGGATGCGTATAATCTTTTCATGTGTGGCTTGATGCTGTCTGAAAGCAGCGGCGTGATGTCGATTTGTGTGACGTGACCATCATGGTTCCCGCTCGAAGGCCGAAGAACGCACGGGGCTCCGGCTGTGTTCCCTGCGACCTCGGTGCCTGGAGAAGCTGCAGGCTCGCCTCGATGGGCGCGGCCTGCAGACACGTTGAGACGCGAGATGTCGCCCCCTGAGCCGCCAGGCCGGGCATCGCCTTTTCTTCGAAGCCGACTTCGAGGACCAGGCGGAAAGTTACTTCTCTCCATCTGAACATGCAATGCAGCCGGTCGGTAGAGATGGGCATGAGGTCTTCCGGGAGGCCCAGCGAGGCCACCTCCGACTCTTCGAGCCCGTGGCCGGGCAGAGCGCCGAGCGGCCGCCGTGCGTTGAGCTGCCTGGACCCAGCTTTTTTGGTGCTGTCTCACTATCGCTACGTCGCGGCAGGTTCAGGTGTACCACCTGAAGATGCACGAGCTCCTGGCGGCCAAGGCCTGCCCACTTCTGTGCAGTCGCCTTCCGGACCGGTGAGTCGCCTCGGGCAGGCCTGGAAGGCTGCCCAAGCCTCGGCACGATCAGAAAGCAGTGGAAGACGGCCTGGCCTATGCAGACTCAGACTGAGTTGGAGGCCGGTGTCGACCTCAAGAAGGCCTTCAAGCAGGCCCAAGAGGAGCCCATGCTGCGAGGCAAACGGCGGAAGGTGGTTGCGAGGGCGCTTCTGTCGTAGTTTTGCCTCACAGCGGAGGCGCGGCGCGGTTCCTGGTGATGATGCACACGGCGGAGGAGAGCCTGGAAGCTTCCGTCGACCTGAGCTTCTGCGAGCTGGTAGCGCCCGACGTCGAAGCGCTCCGAGGACGCGGCCGTGGCTCTGCAAACTGCAAACATCTGCAAGCAAATGCGCAGAGCACAGACGTGCTCACAGGAGCCCTCATGTGCCGCGGTCGCCTCACGATCTACTTGGCGGGCAATCTGATAGGCGGCTGGCCCGAAGAGTGCTTGCTCGGAGAGCCAGCTTGGGGCTTCCTGTCGAAGGCCTTCTTGCGTAGTGTTTTGGTTTGCTAACGTAAGGTTGTTTTGTAATGTGGCGGCCTCTTCCCGACCAAAAGTTGAGAGCTTGATTATGCCTTCAACAATCGACCATGTCTGAGGCCTGGTGCTATCCGCTCATTCAGTCGTAGTAAGTACAGTAGTAGTACAGCAATGGTACAGTAGAACTGTAATAGTAAAAGTAAAAGTACAGTAATACAGTAGTAGTATACAGTAACAGTACAGAAGTTATAGTAATAGCACAGTAGTGGTACAGTAGTTCAGTAGTAGTGTAGTACAGTAGTAGTACTACAGTACACTTAGTAAATTGCAGTAGTATAGTAGTAGTACTGTACTGTAGTAGTACAATAGTCATACAGTACGAGGGTTTAGGGGTACCTAGAGCTGTTTATCGGGGTGTGGACATGACCACAAGCTCGAAACCAAGCCCCGATCACTTCAAGATAATTACCAAGACTAGACACCTTTCGTTTTGAAGACTTTTGCCTCCTGCCTACACTCCCCTCCACAATCGACCAAGTAGTACAGTAATGGATACAGTAGGGTTAAGCTTTTAAGGTTTATGCTTTGGGGTTAAAGGGGGTTTTGGGTTTAGGGAGAGCTTCGGGCTTCAGGGAAGCAAATTGTGGCTGCCTTAAGATTGACCATTAGCAGAGCAGAGGCAAAATCCAAGAAAATCCGCCAGCCAAAAGCAACTCATTAACGAGACCCCCCCAAGTTTTGGTACCGGTCTGAATAAGCCCGGCAAAACGCATTACAGAGGCCCGTTGGATTAAACTGGCCCTCACATTACCGGTGGCTTCACCAGAGTGTCGGCAGCACCTGTGTCTGACGTTGTGGCTTCTCGTGCTTGATCCTCCATGTTGCGAACTCTTTTGTTTGGGGACTCTTCTTTTCCTCTGTCATGTGCAAGGTCCTCGCGCCGATCTTGTTTCTTCACTTGCATCTCAATGTCGTCCGTATCCGTACAAGTACGGAGCCACGCGGGAGCCAAAACATCTGCCATTCTACAGCTTGGCTGTCGACCGACCCAATGGAAGCCAGTAGACATGAGATGAAGTT